CTTGCAAGTGTAGTGTGTGGTCTGCAGCTCACGAACTATGAGGTCGCAGAGAGCCAACACACACTGCTTGGCCAAAGCAGTACGAAGCAAAACAATCTGTCAACCTGTTGGTATATTTAAGACTGTGGCCTCGAGTCGCTGTGCTGGCTCGCACTTCAACGGTAAGTACCCTACAAGTCCCTTTAGTAAAGCTAAGTCATTATAAAAAATGCATCATGGTATTGGTCAAACTCGTTTCCTCGGCTACAAGCGCCATCAACGCTCATGGCGGACTTCACTGGTCATTCCTGTCATGTGGCAAGCTTCTCCTTTATTCGGCATCTTAATTAGCGCTACGAGTATCGTCCTGGTGGCTCAGGCCACTGTCCTAGACTTGAACCCGCGACATGCCCTTCTTCAAGTGTAGACCATCTGCCCTCGATCGGTTGTTTCATGTCTTTTTGTTTCGTTGGCGCTACTATCGAGTATTAAGACCTCATACGTACTTCAAGTTCTCTTCCGGCTCCCATATCAATTTGACTTGATACTCTTTCCTGCTTTTTTCTTGCGCCGATAACCCAAGATGCCCCTCCACATGCTCGCCCGCTGTGCCATCTGGCAGCAACACCGTAAAATGTTCTTAATCTGGCCGATCACTAGCGGCGTATGCTTCAGTAACGAAGTGTGAAACACGGGATGAAATTTCACTTCAGTTGGTAGTTCAATGCGATATTAATCGTATGCGACCCTCTCCGCTACGCTATATGGGCCAATCCATCTCGGTCCCAGCTTTTTCTTTGTGGTACTAGCGTAAAAATTAGACAAATTGCTAGTTGAGAGCAGCACTTGATCTCCTACAGCCAATTCTTGGGCTTGTCGGTTGCGATCATAGTATTGGGCCATACGGTATTGAGCAGCTTGCAGTGCCGCCGAACATGAGCCAAAATATCGTTTTGTTGTTCCACAAACTCGATAGCAAGCCCGGGTACATCACTGTTGAGTGGTTGGTGTGTTAATTCCGTAATGCTGATGTTGCGGGCATATAACCAGTGTCAGCTTCGAAAGGATACATTCCTATTGACGACTGATATCTTGTATTATACGCAAAAAGAACCACATTCCCGTAACCTCACATATTATTTCCTTTAGAAGGGGAAGCTGCTGGGAAGCGATCTACGGAGAAGGCAATGTTGCCTTGCTAAGCTGTGAGGCA